TTTATTAAAAGCCTAATTATAATTTTTTGTCATTTCATTGGTTGCCATTCCACTATATTCACTTTGTGACATTCACATTAATTCAATGATTATTTTGAGAAAACTTAAATACCCCACGATATTTCTCCTAAAAAATAATAAGGTAATGGAGAGCAGTGTGTAAATGTATATTATTTTATTATATGTATATAAATCGGTAAAAATAACTCATTCACTTAAAATACTAGTAAACAGTTTGACATTATCATTTGTTCATATTATTAATACTCGTAATTACGAGTATCAAACCAAGGACATCTACAGGAATAAATTTTCATGTAAATAACTACTCTATCCCTTTTTTTCGAATAGCGTACAGAGCTACATACATGTGAAAGCATTAAATGATAAATTTGCAACAATTTCACTTTGTGGCATAAATTGTGGCTTTAATTACTGTGTCCAAAGGAGTGACTCTACAGTAAATGACAGTAATTACCAGCATTTATTGTCAATTGTCTTCCCTAAAGTGTGAATAAATTAACTCTAGAAATAACCAAGAACTGAATTTAAATAGAGGAAGAACAAATTTCTTTAAAAAATTGTGCTTAAAACAGTTTATATTCGAATTTTTTTCATAAAGTTCAAATAAATTCGATTGTACTGAATTTCATCTTACATATAAATTGCTTTGAATTTACTTTTCATATATAAGCCAATAAACTATTTATATCCATTTGCTTTTTTTTAGCACTATATAAAAATATGTATGTACGTAAAAGAGCACATAGCACACCACACACATGAACCAATATAAATAACATGATTTCATACTAAAAGTTCCTGTTTAAGATGTTTTTGCTGTTATAATACCGTTCTCTCTATACTTAACATATATCCATTACAAAATAAGAAAAAAATAAAAAAAAATAAATGAAAACGTTCTGCATATATCAAAAAATGATTATTATGCAAATTGGATGCATTAAAATTTAAATATTTTATGTGAACAATATTCAGAAAAAAAAAACACACACACACAACAGCAACAAATATGGAAAAATTGTAATAAAAAATGAAAAATCTCAGTTGCCTTATAGCATTTCGCATATAAATTTTTTTTTTTGCCTTTGCATATTTATTATTGAAAACAAGAATGAATGAAAACTGTTATTGAGGTGCAATTATTATGTCCTCGAGAATTTACGAGTATTTACTTTTTTCATTTCATTTTTTTCATCATATTCAACAACGACTGTGTACTAGTTTTCCCCATATAATTTATTTTTTCATGATCATCATCAACTCCATTTTGAATTTACTGCAATTTATATACATTTTGTCTTTTAATTTTTTCCTATATTATATTTGCCTATACTCTAAATTAAGTTACATTTACGGTATTAACATTGACAAGTAAAAACTTTCCAAGTCGTTATTGTGAAGAAAATGGTCTTACATGGAAAATATTTTATGACATTGTAAGACCATGAATCGAAATATTGTTCTGAAATTGTTTACGAATGATAATATTCATTCATTGCATGAATTGAAACCGGATCGGGGTTCGGGTTTCAGAATATGACGAAATATCAAAAGATTTCAATTCTAAGTTTGTGTCATGAAATTGTGGAAAAGAAATCTGGATCTCTTAGGGTCTCGAAGTATAGTGGAATAAAAATCACTCATCGGGTATATCTTACAAAAATCACGTAAATTTGTATAACTTGCAAAAATATATGTTACCTAATAAGTAAAATTTTCATTTAGGCGGAATTAAGCGTTTAGTGAAACTATTTTTCTTCTCTTTTGAAGAATTCACAATCGAATTCTATTTTATTTATATTTTTCGAATTTGTAGTTTGTTATCTCTATGAAATTTGGTTTGTAAATAAGAAAAAAATCGTATTAACTATCAAGAGGGATGAATGTTCAACACCAAAGGGACCTTTGTATGGAATATAGATATAGAAATCGGGTACTTTGTGTAGAAATATTCAAATGAATTTAATTTGGTTGAAAACGATTTTTCTAAACTGAGGCAAGTTTTTCTTAAACCCAGGGATTTTCTTTTTAGAAATATTTGCAAAATTTTAGTGGGCTTCGATTAGAAACTGTAGAAAACTCAAATTTATATTAATTTTCTTAAAATTTAGAATTTCGGTTTAGCAAATGATGTTTAGATGACTTTTCTAAAATATTCACAAGTTTTCACACTTCTTTTCAATAATTTTGGAATTATTTGAGGTACATAATCCAAATTTGTCTAGTGAAAATGTGTTGAGAGCGATTTTCATTAAAATTCTGAACTAGTAGACGCGATTTAAGCAGTTTCCGTTTATAACCACAGAATTATAATCGATTTTAATTCTAAATCATTTTTTAACTTTCTTACTTGTTATTTTTGCAGAAATTTGCGCCAAATAACAACATTTTGCTTTTTCAAAAGTATTTGCAATTTTAATTTTCTTTTTACCATTTTTTTATTTCGTTTGTATTTTTCCAATTCTTATATTATTTATTAAAATCGCTCATACACGTTCAAAAAGTCAATTGGCAACCATTATAGTAATAATAATAACTACTAAAACGATTTAAAAAAGCAGAAAACATAATTTCATTTGCATCCAATTTAATACAAAAAAAAAAAAATGAAAACAAGAAAAAAAAATAAAAGTCGTGCATTATACCAGTTTACCAAGAACCATTATTTTTGAATGTTAGTAAAATTTTCACTGGGATGCAAAAAAAAATTTTTACCGAAACTTTGTTGTTGTTGTTGTTGTTTTTGTATAATTGAAGAGTTGGAAAATTGTTTTGAATATTTTGTATGTGCAAAATACAATTACAGCTTCTGTATAAATTTTCATGACCATTGCATATTCAATGACAGTTTGATGATGGCGTTGGTAATGATAGTTATACATTGATGATAGGGATGTTGATGATGATGATGATGATGATTATGTGCCTGATATTATATAGTAATTGCATAATGATAGGATATAATAGCTTTAATTTTTTTTTTTTTAGATTTTATTTTTGTTGTTAGCATTTTTGTAATTTAAAGCACGAAATAATTTTAAATCATTTTTTCCCATTTTGGATAAATGCGGCTAAATGCTTAAACAAAGAAAGATTTAGAAAAAATTTATCAATTGGTTTATTTATATATGCAGATTGAATACGAGTATTTCCTTTTTAGTGAAATGCCTTTGATAATATCAAGGAATTTTTTTTTTTTTTGAAGATTTGATTGCATATACTCGTATCTGCCCAAACTATACCATAATATTATTATAAATATGGCACGGTAGTTGATTGAATCCATTTTATGATTTTTGGATTCATATGCTTAAAATAGGCATACATATATACCATATTAGATGAAAGAAATATTCAATTTCTTTGGAATTATAAGAAAACTGGAAAGCGCCGTACTCGATTTATTTTCAAAATTTTAAATGCAAATATGAATTTATGTTTCATGATTTTTTTATTAAATTATTTAAGATTTTTACTTCAATTATTATACACTTATATGTACATTAGATTCATATGATATACTTATATGATATATATATAGATATATATAAATATGATATATATATATATGCATACTAAGCATTTTTTATTATAGTTAAATTTTAATGCCAAATTGAGCTACAGCAATTTTGTTCTTGATTTGAAATGATTGTAAAAAAATTTCAGACACAAAGTTTTAAATTTTTACCTTAAAGGTGAATTAAAGGCTTTTTTTTTATTTTATATAAATATTAGAGGAGAAGATTTTCTGTTATGTATTTGGGTTATAGCCGAGAATTTCCTTTTAAAAACATCAGTTTTAGCATTTTAATATGTAAAAATTATTTTGCCACCTCCATAATAAAATTCATAAGAAAATGCATGTAATTACAGTTTAAATGTAAAATTGAGTGATCGGAATTCGTGAAGAAGGCTTTTTTGTAAATATTTTAAAAGAAAAAAAAAAAGATTTGAATATTTTATAAGGTTGGATATTTTATAAATAAGGAAATTTGATTTTCTTTCAAAACAAAAATTATTAATTTTTTGTTCGTGACTTGTTTTGAAAATAAAAATTATTTAAAAATTAGAAAAATTAGCTGTTATGTTTGTGTTAGGAGGAAAGTTTTAATTTGATTTTTGTTTTTAGTTTGCAAATGTACTTTTTATGTTAGAGGTATTTGAAAGTAAACCAATAAAATGAAATTTAATAACTCATTAGTACAGTGAAAATTTTCTTACAACGCATTTTCTAACAATTTACTTGTTGAAGTCGGGGTACTTTATGTCGATGGTGTCCATATAAATAAGTGTCTTTGAATTTTTAACTTGGAAATCATAGGGTACTGAAAATTTCATTAAAATAGTTTATGCATGTTGTGGAAAAATTGCAGCATCTTCCATATTTCCGAAAGAATTTTTAATTTTATCAGACGATATCAGACAGTTTCAATTTTATAATTTTGGTAGGAACCCCAGAAGCATTCAAGAGGAGATTTCAGTTCTTGCCTCTATTCCTCTAGACAAATTAATTAAAACAAAGATCGTTTGTAGACCACACGTTATAAAATACAATAGTTCCTAATATAAGTATATTTTATTCTAACATTTCACTGAAAGAATTATTCTCCAAAATAGTTGACTGCGAACCAATAATTTTGTTAACCTTCGAATTACGGTTGTAATTATTACTGTTTAAAAAAAAAAAAACAAGTTTTTAAGTTTTTTCTTCTCGTATAGTCTGGGTATTTTTTTGGAAAACTAGGTGATTGTTAGTAAAAATCTGGCACCCCTGAATTAAATGGCAACTTGCAATGTGTATTTCTTATGATCGGATAATAATAATGACGAAGATTTTAATAAAATCAAGTTTTGTCAATTCTCTTAAATGTCCTTTTAAATCTAAACCCATGACGTAATTTTATTAACAATATAAAATTTTTTATTAAAAGTAATATTTAAAATAAATTTTTTTATTTCATATTTTTCTTAAATAGAACAAAATGGAAACGACAAACAGCAGTTGGTTTAGAATTATTAGCTGAAGCAGGAAATTATGCAGCATTTCAAAGATTATATGGTGGACCACCATATCTTGGTGGTTGGCCATATCCAAGTCAATCACCACATGGTGCACCACCAACAGCTACAGATTTATATTATAGACAAGCAGCAGCAGCAGCATTACAAAAACCATTACCTTATCGTTTATATCCAGGTGTACCAACAGCATTAGGTACATTAGGTGGTATACCAACACAATTTCCACATTTATCAGCATCAAGTTCATTATCATCATTAAGTAGTTATTATCAGAGTGCAGCAGCAGCAAATACAACAAGTGGAATTAATACAAGTACACCAGTATCATCTGGTGGTATATCACCAAGTAGCATTAATCCAAATAATAATAATAGTAATGGGAGTACTTGTAATAATAATAATAATAACAATAGTAGTAGTAGTAATAATAATATTATCAGTATTAGTAATAATTGTATAAATCGTACTGAAATTATACGAAGATCACCAAGTCCAACATTAAATCCAGGTAGTCCACCGGGCCGTTCAGAAAGTAGTCGACCACCAAGTGATGATGAAGATACAATTCAAGTTTGAAATTATCAAAAATTAAAATAATAATTTTTTTTAAATAAATTTTTAAATATTTTTTTTTTAAATTTTTAAAGAATTTTTAAATTTTTTTTTAGCAATTTTAAAGAAGATTTTTAAAATTTTCTTTGCTTAATGTAATTAAATTTTTTTTTGTACATTTAAATTTATTAAAACTGCTTTGTTGTTGTAAGCATAAAAGATACAAAATAGGCATTAAAAATTACTTAAGAGCCGTTTAACAATAAGCCCTAATTGTGCTGAAAACTTAACAAAAAAAAACAAAGCCTTCACTTTAAGCAAAGATATGGCGTTGATAACTTATTACAAATCTTTCAATTTTGAGTTTTTCTGTTAAATCTCAAAAGTTTTTACTACTTCCATAGTTATTGTATAGAATGGAATTCCTTTTTTTGCCACAAACACGGTCATTTCACAAATATTTTACCTTTTTTCACCATGTTCTTCGATTTTTATATAAGAGTATACATTTGAAAAATTTGCGCTTTGTAGCGTTAACATTAAATCCATTAATATTTTTGAGCACACAAAAAAATTCTGCATAGAAATTTATTGAACTTTAATTTAAATTATGATTGCGAATTAGTTTGTTACACCCTAAACGTAACAGTGAACCTAGCGTAAGCGTCTACACGTTAGATTTGAATTTTTTTATATACATATGGTTACGTTGTTCTCTTATTATTTTGAAATTCTGACGATTATTTTATATGAATTCATTAATTAAATATATTATAAAATTTATTATAATATATTCTTGCATTGTTATCTAGAGTACAATCTTGTGAGTATCCAATGAATTTATTTGATTTTTTTTTTTCAAAATTTGAATCTTATAATATTAATTGAAAGATATTTTAATAACTCAATTTTTCCAATACTAGAACTGAAATTCTTGAAATGATTGTGATTTTTTTACTCATGTATGCAATTCATGTTAGACAATCTACATTAATTGTTTAGGTTTTCGATAAAAACAACAACATCGTATTGTTCCTTTTATACCTAAGCCGCTTACCTGTTTTGTAATTATTAGTCAAAAAAGGTGAAACTAGAGAAGTACTTGAACGTTTTCTCAAATATAATCAGTTCTGTCATGAATTCCCCTCGTAGAATTTTACGAATTACGAACTTAGCTACGACGTAGACTTTTAGATGATTACAAATTGCTTTCGTAGAGATTATGAATTAGCAATGGCAACAGAATTTTTTGGAGTATCAAAATCAGTATTTTATTTTAACTGCCAAATGCTTATTTATATTTTTGGTTACTATTTGAGTACCCTACCTTCATATAATAGGATAATTTTTAATAAAGTTGGGTCAAACCAATGGTTTGTATTGTAGCACTTTTCCCTTCGACAAGTGAAAATTCTGTTTTTAAATACAGCCTATGTATACCTATCACACTATTAAAATTTTTTTCATTCATATACAAAACTATTTCTGGGATTGCATATATTTAGGATGAACGATTTATGCAGTATTTGAAATAGAGCAAAAATTAATATAAAAAGGGGTTAACATAATGCTCGATTTTAAGGGTTAATTGTGTGAATTAAGAAAAATAATTATATTTTTTAATTTCACGGAATTTACCGTTAGCTTTTTGCGTTTATAGACATTTGAAAAACCTTGCGGTTTCAGAAATATAGGGTGTCAAAAATTCAAATTTTACAAATTTCAAGGGGCGATAACTTGAGAGGGGGCGGAGATGGAAAAAAATTTTCTTCAAACGAAATGAACTATTTGGTAATGTCTAAAAGGCCCTAAAATTTCAAGCTCCTACAGGCTGGGGTCTAGAAGAAAAACGAAATCAAAAATTTGAAAAAAAAGACTTTAGATAACGGTAAATTTGAACGGCCATTTTGTTTTTCTAAAGTTTAGCTATAGTATATCGTGCTAGAGGAAGCAAGCCATTGTCTTTCTGCGTTTGCAAAATTTCATGCTTATGGTTTCATTGCAACAAATAGTTAAAAAAGGCCGTTTTTAGGGTTTTGGGGGGGTATAACTTCTAGAGGGGCGAGATAGGTAAAAATTTTGTTCTATGGAAATAAGTTTCTAGTAAAGATCTATGTACATACAAAATTCCAGCTTTCTATCTTTAAGAATGTAGAAGTTTTGTAAACAGACACACGGACAGACGGACGGACGGACGGACGGACGGACGGACAGAGTGAAACTAATAAGCACTTTTTTTCAAAAATTTTTTGGAAAAGTGCTAAAAACGGATTTGTGCAGTTTTTTTTTTAGTTTTTGAGTATTTTTGAAAAGTGAACATTTTTTTTTTTTTTGCAAATATGAATTCATTTCATTTCATGGTAGCTGTGTTCGAAGAGCCCAAATTCAAAAAAAAAAAATTAAAAATTTGAAAATTTAAAACAACCACTCTCTTTGAATTGCTTGTTAGGTGCAATTATTCCTTTCGTAGACTTTAGAGGGTAATTTTTACTACGAACGCAATTTATGACTGCTCCATTACGAATTTTTGTAGTAGAATTTTAGTAATTCAGAACTGAAAATATGAAATTCGTAATTTACGGAATTTTGGAGCTATGAACGAAATTTATGTTAGGGCTGAATATGTTTTTTTTTTGTAATTGGAAATAAGCAGTTAATTAACAAAATTTCAATTAAAGAGTTGCCAATATTTTTATGTTTTAAACTACGTAAATCTTATTAAAATAAAATTGTACAAAAATAAAAACGGACAAACAATTAAATATAAATTAAAAAATTTGGAAAAAAATTGGCGGATCAAAAATTTAATTAAAAAAAATGCTAGAATAAAAATTTTATTTTATTTTTTAAAGACCAATTTAAAATATGCAAATTATTATTGTTAATAAAAGGCGAAAACAACAAAATTAAAGTGTAAAAAATTTAAAATTTTAAATTCGAATAAAAAAAAAACCAAATTAATTTTGAAAATAATTTTTTCGATTATTGTCACAGATAAAATTTAAATAGAAAATAAATTTAAATAAATGTAATTAAAATATATAAGTAAATTATTTATTTGTAAAATAAAATAAAAAATATTTTATATTATAAATATAAAAAAAAATTTTTAATGTGTATTTAAAATTAAATGAATGTAAAAATGAAAATTTTTTTATAATAATTTTAAATTTCTTTCTTTTTTTTTTTGGAATTTCTTGTATTATATTTCGCGATATTTTATTATAATGCACTTTAATTGAATTTTAATTTTACAAAATTTACAATTAATATAAACAAAATTTTTTTTTTCTTATGTAAATGAAATTATTAAGTACATTATTGTAAAAAACATTACAGAAAATTTAAATATGCTTAAAAAAAAATATTATAAATATTTGTACTTAATTTTTAAGTTCAGTAAAAAAAAATTATTAAATATGCAAAAAAACGTATTATAAACGATAAAAAAAGGTAAGAAAACAAAAGAAAAAAATTTTATTTTAAATAAAATAAATGAGAAGAAAAAAAAAAACAAAAATCCAAAAAATAAAATATTTTTTATGTATAATTAAAAATAAAATATAAAATTTAAAAAATTGAAAAATAAATGAGATTAATATGAAATTAATTGAAAGTTCTTAATACTTAAAAATGTCAGTAAATTGTAATTTTCTTTGTTTGATATAAAAGTAGATTGAGTTGGTAAGTAAGCAGCCCTACACCTGTTACGGTTTGGAATGGTTTTTCTTCTTGCCTATAGAAAAACATGTATCATCTCAGAAAAACTTTTAGAAACTCTTTCGAAAAAATATAGAGCTGTTAAAAAATTTTTGGTTCTAGACAGACTTTCAGTTTATTTCAAAATTGTGATTATCTTATGTTTAAATTATTAGAACTTTCCTGTTTTAATATAAAACACTTGAACATAAACCAGTCTCATCACAAAAGATCATCACAAGCCAATGAAACCAGCTCATTTTTGTGATACTCTTTTCGGCCGGTTTAAGCCCTAAAAATATTTGGAAGTATTAGGAATTCCGGAATTCTTTGAAATGAAACGGAAACTATCAATTTTTTTTTGTTTTCAGTAAGTAATATTCCAGTTACACAGTCTGGTATTCATAAATATTTCATTTTCAGTTTAACCGATATTTTAAAATTATTACAGAATAGGTCAAGAAGACGAGAGATATCCATTTGCAAAAACGAAAAATCTATAAATTAACAAATTGAAATTTTTAATTAAAAAATTGATCGTTATTGTCGCCAAAAACGACGTCGCTTACGTCGCTACAATATACCAACTATGTCAATTGGCTTGAATTAACTTAGTGAATTTTTGCGCTCAGGTGAACACATAGTCATTCATATTAAAAAAACGTTAGAGCATTTGATGTTTTAGACGAGAACTTAGATTTAAACTTCAGGGTAAGTTTTTGAAATCATTAAATTCGGATTAAATTGAATCTCTTATATTTTAAATAATTACAATTCAAAGATTTATTCACAAAAACCAAAGTTTTTTAAATGTCGGTTAAATGAGAAAAGAATATATAAGCGAATAAATCATTCCTTGAATGAAATTAACTTGTTCATAAAATTGAGAATTGAGAGTCCTAATTTTATCCCTCCAAAATCCAAAAAACTATCAAAATATCATCGTTTATTAAAATTGCTACCTCATTTAAAACAAAATAAAAAAAAACAAAATTAAATAAAAATCATTAAAAATTTCAAAATTTTGCTAAACTACAAAGTCTTTAATTCCATTTCTTATAGGATTCAAAATGACGATCCAAATTGCATATGTAGAAAACATACAAGGTCTTAAAAATTCTAAAAATGAGAATGGACGTTTCATTTGTGATTCAATAATAATGACGCAAAATAATGATTTTAAACAAAGGATCATTTAGCCACCTACTAAGAGAATAGCATTCCTACGGGTATGTTGTAGATATATACATACATATACAAGGTAAGATGATGATGATTTTGTAAAATTCTCTAGCGAATGAATTTTTGTTGATTTTATCTTATTGTTAGTAAATTTCGAGAATCATCATCGTTGTGTAAAAAGAATTAAATTGAAGAAAAAACAAGGCTTTTTCTTAATTTTTTTCTTTTTGTTGATGTCTTCCTTGTTTAAGAAAGAAGAACCTTCTTTGTTTTTTG